TCTGAGACTCGTGATCTGATTGGCTATTGAAACCTGACTGTGCCCGTTCACTTACAGCGCACAGGGGCCTGCTCTGTTTAATCTGAAGGCCCAGAGCAAATGTAATTTACCTGGCAATACAGCTAGCTGAAATATGATTGGTTAAAAACTCTACCATAATAAATAACTTATTTATCGAGTGGCTTTCAATGTTATTTAAAATAACATTGAAAGCCACTCAACTAAGTGGAAATAATGCAACGTAAAGAATACAGAGAATAATTTTGTTTACATATTTATGAAAATAAAATAACAAATTATAAAATAACATAAAATACATAAAAGTAAATTTACTTTTCTGAGAATGTTTAGGCCAGCAGAGAAGGCCTTGCTGGCCCTCAGGGTCCGCCACTGGGCACAACACTTAAACAAGTAATTGGTATTGAAAAATATAGTAATGCATTTTAAGATTAAACAAGATTTATAAAGAAATAAATTTTTAATCCATTTACACATGTGCATATAAAATCTAAATTTAATCCCTGCCTACACTTTACAAACTAAGGAGAGTGCTATTAAATGTGTAAAGAATAACGTATTCACATGTGCTTGATAGCGTCTGCTGTGTTGGGTCTGTCTCTGACAGACTGCGACTGCTGTTGTCTTCTTCCCTGATGAATGCATTTTAAGATTAAACAAGATTTATAAAGAAATAAATTTTTAATCCATTTACACATGTGCATATAAAATCTAAATTTAATCCCTGCCTACACTTTACAAACTAAGGAGAGTGCTATTAAATGTGTAAAGAATAACGTATTCACATGTGCTTGATAGCGTCTGCTGTGTTGGGTCTGTCTCTGACAGACTGCGACTGCTGTTGTCTTCTTCCCTGATGAAAACAAAGTTGTCTTCTACTCTGATTAAAACAGTAGCGGATACTCTATGAATTATTCACCTTATTAAAAATATTCATTCCGTGTCTTTTATGCATTTTTTCACTTTTAAATGATCCTGCGGGCCTGATCGAACTTCCTTGGGGGCCGGTACCGGCCCGCAGGCCGTATGTTTGACACCACTGCTGTATACAGAAGGAAATCAGCAACTAAATATACAAGAAAGTCAGGTTTGAAAAGAGTTTTTTAAAATGCTGTTGATTTAAAGAATATGCTGAGTTTGTTATTGGAGAAAAGCTCTGCAGCAGTGCGAATGACAAAAACAATTAACCATGCCAAACTGAATAATTGACTTTTCAGTTCAAAGTAAATGTCGGGAATCGTGAGGTTAACATGTAGTTAAGAGTAAGGGGGGGAGAAAAAGAGTGGAGCCACCTGGCTGATGGTGCAGCTGCACAGGCCAATGCTGATGGTGAGTGTCACTGTGAAGCCTGCAGAGTCATATTGGGAGAATCCGTCAACAACTGTCTGAACCACGGAAGATACAGCTGGGACTCTCAGTACTGGACCACTGAAACCATGTTTATTTTATGGCCACGATTGATCAGTATATAAATATAAAAACAACCCATTTGAAGAGATTTATTTGGAACTGTGTTTTTGTTGTTTTTTTTTTGTTTTTGTTTTTGTTTTTTTGTTTTTTACTGTATCATACTACAAAGTAATAGCTGTTTCTTGTATCTTAACTCAGTGATTGCTATCAGTGATTCTCTGGAGACCAGTCCGTGTTGTACCTCGCTTGTGGCCCAAAGTCAGTTGAGATAGGCTGTAGCTCACCTGCCACCCTAATGAGGATGAGTGCTATAGAAAATGGATGGAGTTATGATTTGCCCTGGTGATAACTTTCAGTCAGTGCAAATCAGACAGAAACCCATGGAATTAATTGTTTTTGACCACAGCGGTTAAACCTGACTGTGCCCGTTCACTTACAGCGCACAGGGGCCTGCTCTGTTTAATCTGAAGGCCCCGAGCAAATGTAATTTACCTGGCAATACAGCTAGCTGAAATATGATTGGTTAAAAACTCTACCATAATAAATAACTTATGTATCGAGTGGCTTTCAATGTTATTTAAAATAACATTGAAAGCCACTCAACCAAGTGGAAATAATACAACGTAAAGAATACAGAGAATAATTTTGTTTACATATTTATGAAAATAAAATAACAAATTATAAAATAACATAAAATACATAAAAGTAAATTTACTTTTCTGAGAATGTTTAGGCCAGCAGAGAAGGCCTTGCTGGCCCTCAGGGTCCGCCACTGGGCACAACACTTAAACAAGTAATTGGTATTGAAAAATATAGTAATGCATTTTAAGATTAAACAAGATTTATAAAGAAATAAATTTTTAATCCATTTACACATGTGCATATAAAATCTAAATTTAATCCCTGCCTACACTTTACAAACTAAGGAGAGTGCTATTAAATGTGTAAAGAATAACGTATTCACATGTGCTTGATAGCGTCTGCTGTGTTGGGTCTGTCTCTGACAGACTGCGACTGCTGTTGTCTTCTTCCCTGATGAAAACAAAGTTGTCTTCTACTCTGATTAAAACAGTAGCGGATACTCTATGAATTATGCACCTTATTAAAAATATTCATTCCGTGTCTTTTATGCATTTTTTCACTTTTAAATGATCCTGCGGGCCTGATCGAACTTCCTTGGGGGCCGGTTCCGGCCCGCGGGGCGTATGGTTGACGTTCGAATTGTTTTATACTATAAAACGATTAACATGCTTCAGACAATGAGAGCTGCAACAGAGCAATCAGCTTTGGTTAAAAATATGATGTATAGTATAAAGTGTTTAAAAGTAATAGTATTTTGACTGACTTTTAAATGCTGAAAAAAATGTATTTGGAAATAATCATTTTTATTCGTCATGTATTGACAATGTACACTGCGAATGCTGGTGGTGCAGTGGTTCACTCGCCTGATTTGAGTGCGGTTCTTACTCTGTGACGGTGTGGAATTGGGTGTGAATGGTTGTCCTCTATGCTAAACTGTAAGCCATTCGACTCACCACGTGAGTTCTCCCCCTTCATACTCGCGTCCCACCGCAAGCTAACGCGAACACAGCGTATCAAACGCTGGCTGACCAAGTAAATAAACGCGATCTTAAGCATCCAGAGTCACCCTTTATCATTTTGGGTGGTTTTAATAGAGCACAACTTAACCATGAACTTCCCAGATCTAAGCAGCTCATTGATTGTTTCACCAGAGAAGGCAACATTCTGGACCATTGCTACACGACACTTAAAAGACTCATACCAATCTTTTGCACGTGCAGCACTGGGCTTTTCTGATCATTGTTTAGTACATTTAATACTTGTATTGCAGGCACAGACTCAAATGTGTAAAACAAGTTGCCAAGACTGTCAGGAGGTGGACCGACGAAGCAAAGGTGGAACTACAAGAATGCTTGGGCTGCACTGACTGGGGCGTCTTTGAAACTTCAGCTGGCAGCCTGGACCAATACACAGACACTGTGACATTATACATCAGTTTCTCTGAGGACATGTCCCAACCAAGTGCTTCCTCACCTTCAACAAGGTGGTTCACTGCCATATTCAGGCAACATAGAAAAGAGAAAGAGGCCGCCTTTAGAAGCGGAGATATGGCACTGAACAAACACGCTGGAAACC